TAGAAAAACAATTTATGTATTTGATAGTAGTACACATCAATTAATTGACAAAATTAATGGTGTGTCAAAAGCGTTAAAATATGCTAAAATTAACTATTATACATTGAAAAGTTTAATTGAAAATGGAAATTCTTTTAAAGGTAAAATATATAGCTATAAAGATAAATTATAAATTTTTCAATACGTACGCATATATGTTATATGCAACATTTCTTAGGTCATATTAATGTAGGCCCTTTATGATTGATAAATGATATTTGCACAACACTGTATGCTAGAAACTCTATTTGGTACTACGGACTATAATAGACAATTAGCAGGAAACCTAAGAGTTAATATATCTATCTTTTAACTTAAGTGGGATCCTCAGAGACTATACGTGTTGCAACTTAAAAGTTGAAGAAATAGTCCTTTAACATAGTGATATGTTAAATTACATCTTGCTACTTGTATTTTATTTTTTTATTAATTATGATTACCTCAGTTATAATAATAAAATGTATCTAAAAAGCTTTTGTGATGAAGCTTCATCTGAAACTTCAAATCAATCTAGTAATTCAGAAATAAATAGTAATTCTGAATCTGTACAAAACCCTAATTTTGGGACTGAACAAGATCCAGATGATGATGATTTTGTTAAAAAAACAGTAAATAATAATAACTTAACGACTATTGAACATAAACATAAATTTAACCAACAACATAAATTAAATTTAGCTAATTTAAAATCTTCTACAGTTTCTCCGGTATATAATCTTTTAAATGACAGAGAAACAATTTTAAGAGAATTTTTAAATAAAAGTGGTATATATCTTATTCATAACAACGTAAACGGTAAACAATACGTAGGTAGTGGTACGGATTTAGCAAAAAGACTTGCTACTTACTATTTCCCTTCTCGTTTGGTTGATAATCGTTATATTTCTAATTCTATCTTAAAATATGGACACGGTAATTTTTCTGTAGTTATTTTATATGTTTTAGGTAATACTGATATATCTATAAAGAAAGATATTATTAGTAAAGAACAAAAGTATATTGATTTATATTTACCAGTTCTTAATTTAAATCCTATTGCTGGATCAAGTATGGGTTTCAATCATTCAGAAGAATCTAAAAGACTTATGTCTGAGTTTCGTAAAGGTAAACCTTTATCTGAAAAGACTAAGAAAAGATTAAGTCTTTTATTTTCAGGTGAATTAAATCCTTTCTGATCTAAACAACACACTCCTGCTACTTTAGAGAAAATGAGTAAATCTAAATTAGGTGCCTTAAATCCTATGTTTAATAAGGAAAAGTCCGAGGAATTTGTTGCACATATGTATAAAGATAGAAAAGGTTCTAATAATCCTATGTTTGGTAAAACTAAGTATGAAGAAACCTTAGCGAAAATAAGAAAAAAGGTTTATGTTTATGATAGTAACAAATAATTTATTAAATGTTATGATAGTATAAAATTTGCTGTAAATGATTTACACATAGCTTTTGAAACAATTAAAAAATATTTAGATACAGATAAAACATATAAAGATAAATACTTTTATTCTGAACTGCAATAAATATATTTATTTAGTAGCAAGAAAAGCTACAAGGTATGCCACGTAGAATTAGTGATTATCCTGATGCTTTTACAGGTTGAAACTTTATTAGTAGTATCGGTTCTATAATTTCTGTAGCTGCTACAGCATTATTCTTACATATTGTATACTTACAACTTGTTAAAGGTAAAGCTATCTTTGGATACCCTTGAGCCGTTCCTCAATTATTTAGTGATTACTTACGTATACTTAAAGATAAATGTGCTCCAGGATTAGAATGAGCATTACATAGCCCACCTAAACCTCACGCATTTACTAGCTTACCATTACAAAGTAGTGGTATATTAAGTTCTCTTTTTCTAGGTATAAGCTTTTTATTTACTATATCAAACGAATTTATATGTGATGCACCTAGAGCTTGAGGACTTTACTTCCAAGATAGTGCTAGCCCACAAATGGAAGCTTTAGTAGAATTACATGAATTTTGTGTATAAGAGTCAAACTCCGGGGACGTCCTAAAGCTCTAACTACCAAGGATATAAAGTCAATTTTTATCTGGCTTAACTAATAACTAAGGTAAGGTAATAAAGTTAGAGATAGAAGTTAGAACAGCTTAAAATGGAAAATCGCGGATCTAAATCAGTAAAATAATATTTTATTGTATAAGAGCAACGAGTAGACGACTCTTCAGTTTTTAACTGTAAGGTGTACTCTGGCCCTTTGAGAAATCAAAGGATCTAAATAAATATATATATAGCATGAAAATCCTAGCAGGCTCTATTCAAATCCTTCAGGGTGCTGACCAGTTTCGGTTTCGTGGTGTTTCACTTCTACTAAGAAGTTAACGGTAAGCTATACGAAATACGAAGTCTCCCTCGAGAGCTTTATGTAATAGCCGGGGACTTCTGCGTATCACCTAATTTTTTTTTATATTCTCTATGAGAATTAAAAATAAAACCTGGCTGGGTCAGAGTTTGCTTAAATTTATACCGTAAAAACGCGGAGATAAATAGTTTAATATGAATCTCGATTTAATAACATAAGAACTTAGGAAGTAAAGACTTACGAGTTTAAAATACTTACTAGGTAAGGTTTCTGCTAAGCCGGACTTACTTTATTTAAGATTCGCACGGTATACGGCGAAATTGTATATATCTTATATTATTGAATAAATATACGGAAAATTCCTTTTGGTTAAACCTTGCATGACGGAATGATCCTAAATTTGGATCGAAAACGCATTCAGCTAAATTTAACCTAAATCCTGCTTTTTCTGCTAATTTGAATAAGTTACACCCTGCTTATGTGACAGGGTTTTGTGATGGTGAGGCATGTTTTCATTTAGCCATAGGTGAAAACCCTAGATATAAATTAGGTTATTATGTTAATCCTGGTTTTTCTATAGCTTTACACAAAAAGGATGAAGAATTTTTATTATTACTTAAAGAGTTTTTTGGTGGCGTAGGGGTAGTAAAACCTAGTAGTCGGTCTAATATGGTGGAGTATAGAATTTTTGCTATTAAGGATTTAGATATTATTCTAAATCATTTTGACCTTTACCCTTTAATCACAAAAAAAGGGGGAGATTACTTACTATTCAAGGAAGCCTTAGAATGTATTAAAAATAAACAGCATTTAACTGTTGAAGGGTTTAATAAAATTCTGGCTATAAGGGCTTCTATGAATAAAGGGTTGCCCGCAAAACTACTGGAAAAATTTCCTTATATTAAGGGGAAAGAAATTCCTGTGGTGGTAACACCTGAGAGTTTAAACCCTTACTGGGTAGCTGGTTTTATGGACGCTGAAGGTTGTTTCTTTGTAAAGTCTATTTACAATAAGAACAATGAGCTTAGATTTGGGCTAGGTTGTCAAATTACACAGCACAGTCGGGATTCTTTAGTTATGCACAAAATTTGTTCTTTCTTTAACTGCGGTAGAGTTGAAGTATCTAGAATGGTTTACGATAATTATGTTGTAACTAAGTTACCAGATATAAATAAAATTATCATTCCTTTCTTTACAAATTTCCCAATACTGGGTTCTAAACGTAAAGAATTTGAATGTTGGACGGATATCGCCAAAATAATGACTTCAAAAGCTCATCTTACTAACGAGGGATCTGAGAAGATATTAAAAATAAAACATCAAATGAATACATTTAGGAAGGAAGATGATAATAATTAGAAACATTTTGTAGTATTAGCTATAGAAAGTCTAGGATTCATTAATTTATATACCGTACGAGTATATAGTAAATTGATGAGAAATTAACCATTAAATAACTTTAATATCCACACAAATATAAAAAGTAACTACTCAAACTAGCAGGTTTATTTATTGGTATATTAGGTATAATAAGTTTAAAATATAAATGTTCTCTCTGCTGCCTACCGTAAACTAAGTTTTAGTGAAGGAAGCTATAAGGGGGGGGCGTAAGCTCCCGCGGCTGGG